AGTTGAAGAGTCAGCCTCGGAACCGGGCACCCCTCGGTCAAGAGAGACTTGGCTTACTCGGCACACTCTTTAGCTAGGTGGAGAAAAAGTAACCCCGTTGGCATTATGCTCAGGGTTTATGGTATTATAACCATCAGATGTAGTGTAAAAACATGTATCTGTTTCTTTTAGGGCAGCATAGCGGATGCCATTGCTGTTCACCCATGTGAACCATTTATTTTTGGTTCTCCCCCTGTTTTCAGAGATGGTCTGCGACTGAGCGCAACCGTTTGATCCTGCAACCCGTGTGATTTAGGGTGCGTCTTACTGTACCAACCCTAGGATTCGTCCTCGCCTATCTCTTTCGGTTGGGGGTGTGATGGTTTTCTTTCGGATCGTCCAGTTTAGATTGGTTGATAAGGCGTAAGTTGTCTTGATGAAATAGATGAGGAAAGGAAGAAAGTTCAATAGTGCAAAAGACAAGGGAGAACGGTGAAAACGTGTAACAGCCTCCTTCATCTTCCCTGAAGCCATAATTCCAGATTATTTAGTCCACCTGCACTCCAGCATTGAACCTGAGCATGTGTCCCCCTGAACCCGACTGCCCGCCTACCCCGCATAATATTGCTTTGTGGTTGCCGCATACTGAACAGTCTACTGTCTATCCACCAGGGACATTCAGATCTTTTTCAGTGCACACACGGACTTCCATTCGCGCCTAAGCCATTCATCCTATTTCGTCCCTTTTGTACAGCTTCCGGAAAAAGTTTCGTCCACATTGTATCTAGACCACCCTTGAACTCCTCAACTGAGGCTACTGAAACAACCGAGATTGGTAACTTGTTCCAAGGGTTTATAACCCTATGAGCGAAGAAATTTGCCCGGATGCTTCTTAGTGCTCTCGGGATTTTAAGCTTCATTCCGTTTCCCCGCAGTGCGAGGTTAGTACTCCTGAATGTACTTCATGCTGAATTTTTTGAAAATTCTTCCGAACCCATAATGATTTATGGTGAAAAGCTTTATCTGTGTCTTGCTCTTATATTGACGTTTCTCGATCACGAACACCATACATCATTATTTATCTGTTAATTCGATGCCCGGCACATTTGAATTTGGCGTGGTTTGAGAACGGAAGCGACTGTTTGCCTCTCTCTGGACATCTTATTTGGCTCGCTTGTTTGAGTGCTTTTGGCCGCATATTTGAGGTTTGCTTTATTGTAAATTTTGTAATGATTTCGTTAATTCAGTACCGTAGAACATTGCGGATCAATTGTGTTTTTAATTCGGGATTCGTATCGATTCGGCTACGCGTCACTCAATTGCGAATTGGTTGACGTACAACCACGACCCCTAGGTCCTTGGAATGCGTTACCTCCATTAACTGCCCTATCTGATAAGGGATTTCGGCCCTTCTTCCCCCTAGCGGTTGACGTTTGGCTAGGTTTAACGGCAGGTCCCACTTATGTGACCAGGATAGTATTGGTTCGATGTCTGCATCCAGGTCTGCGCCGGCCACCTTTACNTACATCATTATTTATCTGTTAATTCGATGCCCGGCACATTTGAATTTGGCGTGGTTTGAGAACGGAAGCGACTGTTTGCCTCTCTCTGGACATCTTATTTGGCTCGCTTGTTTGAGTGCTTTTGGCCGCATATTTGAGGTTTGCTTTATTGTAAATTTTGTAATGATTTCGTTAATTCAGTACCGTAGAACATTGCGGATCAATTGTGTTTTTAATTCGGGATTCGTATCGATTCGGCTACGCGTCACTCAAGTGCGAATTGGTTGACGCACACTGGATAGCAGCTGCGTTCCCATACTGGAAAGACCCTTTAGTTGCTTGAAAGCCTCTATGGGGTCCCCAATTAATGTTCTTCTGACCAAACAGAACAGGTTAGGTATTCTTAGCCTGCCGTGGTAGTCCAAAACTTTTATCCCCCCGGATTCACCTTGTGAACCTCTTTTGTACATTCTCTAGTATCACTGAGTCCTTCACAAGAGATAGCGTCCGGGCTTGCGTACAGTACTCAAAGTGCGGCCTCGCAGGCGTTTTGTAGAGCGGGAGAATGGATAATCTGTCTCTTGAGGCCACGGTTCTCAGTAACTGATGAAGCGCTCTGTTTGCTTTTATCGCCGCTAGGAGGCACTGCTTGACTGGTTTGCAAGTCTCGTGTATGGGCACTCACAGATCCCTCAGCTGCCCTATTTGGGTTATTTCCCGAGGGTTATCCAGGTTCAGTAGTCTGCTAGTTGATGGTGGCTGGCCTCCCTGGAATAGAAGCTTTCTGCACTTATTGGTGTTTAGTGGAAGGTCCCGTTCCATGGCTCACTTTTACAGAAGATCTAGCATTTTCGGAGATGGGGTTCCCACGTTAAGCGCGCAGCATTCAAACGAGGTTTTATTCAAAACGTTCAAGGTCATTTGATCCATCCCCATTCTCCAAGTCATGAAAAATATCCCAAATCGAGACCACTGTCGCTCGAAAATTATTTCACTTATTAAAGATCTTGAACATAACCCCGATTTCAATACGGCAGCCAACAACCGAAAAAATTAAAAGAAAATTCATTTAACTCAAAAAAATAAAATAATTATTGGTTAATTTAGATTAACGAGTTCTCAGGAGGGAAATGTACCCATACTACATCCATAAGAATCGCACTTTCCATTTAACTGTCAAAAGCTATTCCAAATACTATTCTGAAACTTTCAGCCTAAGATCATCGACGAATACGAACTGAAACTATTTTTCACGACGAGGTCTGTGATTATTTCGTCGGAAATACTATGGATAAACTTCGTGGGCAGAGCATGAAACTCTTCAAACCGTATGTCCGTATACAAATCCGCCAATTCACTTCCACCCACGGGATCATTCCACCTCGGAGTACAAGAAGTAGGTAATGCCTCCACAAAATCGGATCTTAAATGGAATCTATACCAATATCTTGGTCCCTAAACAGAATTCTTAACTCAAAGACAAATAAAGCAAATTGGCGTGACCCTAAACGGGCCGTTTCGTCACTATGGGCTTTTGATGTCCACGCTAATCGACTATGACAATGCACACAAACGTGTGCTTCCTCTCCACTGTAAGCAGCGCAACTGCCGTGTGTACGTTAACCGCATTTTTGGCACTGGATCCATTGTTTCTCATCGTCCAAATCAACCGTATTTCACGCGGATTCGCAGACAATACAACGATTGGCGTTCATCGGTAATGCCGGATTGGTTTGCCTTCTGCGTTTAGCGTCCAGTTTGTACTCCGCTGATGTCGTTGTTGTCAGTCTTCGGAACACAGCATGCTCCAGTGGGTCATCTAGGACTATTTCTTCGTCCTCACTGTCGACCGATCTACTCATTAAAACTCATTCCCGATTTTCAATCGAACCACTTGTTGAAGCTACTGGTAGATTATTGGTTCTCACCTTGACGGAAGACAGGTACGCTTAATCTCCTTAGTCTGTGTTGCCAAGCTCTGTCTATCGAATAATATCTGCATGTCCGGGTACTTCCCTGTCATAGATGCTACGCGTCAAAGTTATTTGCATTGCAAATTGTGATTCGCTGTACCTAAACTATTCAAAGAGATGTCCATCTCTTGAAAGACATCCTTTGTTTGATCTAACTTTGATGGCTTACCCATGACATTTCTTGAGGCCGCTATTAACATAATGGACTTCTGATCTGATTGCTTTTCGCTGCGCTTTATAATCCACCTATCTGGAATAGAACTTTGAATATCCCAATTAATCCGATCGAATACCCTGGATATATGCGAGCAGAACAACAACCATTGCGCATAGAAATAACACACTTCGTTTCCCCTGCAGTAACTACTTTATAACCTTTGCCCTTGCTATCCACGACCATGAATAACCCTCCCTCGTGAACAATTCGTTTGATCTTACATGACTACCAGTTAACTATTAATATATTCTGCGTAAATGGTGTAACTCGTATGAGCAACGGTTTAAACAACTGCATGGTGCTGGGTTTCGGATGCATTTCATTTTGAATTTTTGAAAATCCTTCCAAACCCATGATGATTTATGGTGGAATAACTCTATCTGTGTGTTGCTTCTCTATTGACATTTCTCAATCACAAACACCATACATCATTATTTAAACTTTATTTGTGTGTTGCTCCTATATTGACATTTCTCGATCACAAACACCATACATCATTATTTATCTGTTATAACTTCTATGACCTGCACATTTGAATTTTGCGTGGTTTGAGAACGGGAGCGACTGTTTGCCTCTCTCTTGAACATCTTATTTGGACACATTTGAATTTTGCGTGGTTTGAGAACGGGAGCGACGGTTTGCCTCTCTCTGGACATCCTACGATTTGAATGGGTGTGATCAGAAAACGTGAGCGACTGTTTGGCTCTATCTGGACATCATATTTGGCTCGCTTGCCTGACTGCTTTTGGCCGCATATTTGAGGTTTGCTTTATTGTAAATTTTGTAATGATTTCGTTAATTCAGTACCGTAAAACATTGCCCATGTGTGTGGGCGGTGTGCGGGTCGTTTAGATTAGAAAATGTAAGGCCTGTTAGTGCTGTCAGTGCTGTTTTATGTGTAGAGTCAGATATTAAGGATATTGATATATTTAGATTGCGGGTTTCTGAATTAGAGCATGAGTTGCGATTAGCAAGGCAGCAGATGGAACAGGCCAAACGTGAAAAAAACGATTTCAACGGCACAACATCACCTCGAGCTGAGACTGNAGAACTCGTCCCTCGGCGAAGAAAGTATGCCCATGTAAACGTCAATTTGCCAGGAGTCGAACTGACACCTTTCGATGGTAATCCCGACCAATATTGTCAATTCATTCGCCAATACGAAAATTTCGTTGAATGCAAAACCGACGATGCAGGGCAAAGGTTTCTGTTTTTGCTACACTACTGTCGGGGGAAGGCCAAGGAGGCTATACAAGGGTGTGCAATGCTGGACCCGGCAGTGGACTACCCGAAAGCTAGAAATATACTGAAGCATATGTTCGGCCAACCATGTCGAAGGGCACGAAACATGAGTCAGGGGGTGCCAGCAGAGGCGAGGCGCACACGAGGCGATACCAGTTCTCTAGCAAACCTGGTCATCAAGATGAACACTCCAGCATCGCCCTAAACCACCTCGAATTTCGGTCGGACTTGGATGCACTTCACACGCTGAAATCGATTGCCAGATGGTTGCCGGCCGAAATGCAGACAGCCTGGGCGACCGGGGCCGATCGAATCGAGAAAAGGAACAGAGAGGCTACATTCGACGAACTCGCACAATTCACAGGTTGCAAATCTCGCATAGCAAATAGTCGATTCGGCTAACTTGCGGGGGGAAGCATCGGGACCGCTAGGCCTTCAACCAACTTTTGCGCCGTCTGGATCTCGAGGTTCCCCTACCCCACACAACTGGGCGAGCACCAACGTAACTCATATGACACACAAAGACCAAATAATTGCAAACTGTGCACAGGTGTCCACAAGCTTGTTGACTGCGCAGAGCTTTTGGCAATGAAGGTGATGGACCGCTGGACAGTAGCTAAAAGGACAGGATCCTGCTTTGTGTACTTGGGCGATAACCACAGAGCAGCCGTTTGCAGAAACCGAACCAACTGTGGTCAAGACAATTGCAGGGTTCGGCATCACTCCTTATTACACCCCGACGGAAGAGTTGAGCCGCGAACAAATAATGCATCGGGTCGATAGAACCAACGAACACTCTGCGGGGATACACCAAAATCTGTCTGCACTATTGGACGGGTGTCAAGGGGGTCAGTCCGCTTGGGAATAATACCAATCCAAGTGAAAAATCCACGTGGCATGATCCAAGCCGTAGCTTCCCAAGACATTGTATCGGTTACCACCCTCGTGAGAGAGAGCTTTGCACGAGAACACGACCTGCGTGGACGAAACACCTCATTGGTAATTGTCAAAATTCGATTCTCCAGGAAATGCTTTCAATATATTTTTTCTAGTCCACTGGACACAAATCACATTTGGGAAGGGGATCATTGGCGTTTATAAATGAACCTGAACCAATCAGATTGTTCACGTCGGCAAAATTAAAGTCCTGTACGGACCAATTATAAAAATGCAATTGATGCAGTAAAACAAAACGATCAATTCAAACAACATTACAACACAT